CAGGTGCAGCCTTTATTATTGTTTACATTAAAAATAATTTTCCTTATTAAAATGTTGATTGTATGAACTTGACCTCTCAATGCATCTGATAAATTGGAAGCATTTAAATAAAGGAACTTGCCTTGATTGTATTGGGTACTACTGCTCAAGGCTGAAATGTCACTTGTGACTGACTGCATTTTTACACAATCAATAAATTTGCAGTTCTTTTTTCTGCCTCTTGCTGGTTTCCATAGATACAGATGAGAAGTGACAGGTTCTTGTCGTCTGCATTGACCCTGTTCCAACCTTTTGCTCCTGGACTTCCTTATTGGAGGATATGCTTATGCTGCTGTTTGTACTTCCTCTTATTCGACCCCTTTCCTAACATGTTTTAGTGGTGAAACCTTTCATTAGATTCTAAAGGGGACATAATTGTACTTCCTTGATTTTGTTTATTTGCTGCAGTAACTTTACTAGTTTATCTGTCTTATTTGACATGAGAATGTTGGTATGTTCAGATAGTGAAAGGTAGGATTGTAATAATTTGATCCTGATATCTAAGTGGATATTTTGTAATGGAACACTAACATTAGGATGGTGCTTTTATTGTTAATATTTTTTAAGATTTGTGTCAAAAGTCCATAATTCTATTTGCTATGTTCACCAAGATTGTTATTATATTGCCCTCTAAGAAGTTCGGGGAGAAGAATTGCAACCTTTCTCTCTATTTCCAAATTGAAAAAGGAATGGGAATGGTGCTGAAAGCATAATGAAATAAAAGAATCAAGTCATACCTTGCCATATTTCATGTCCGAACTGAAGAGAAAAGTTGTATGAGAAAACAGCACTGATGATGTTACTGTCAACACTAACAGTTTAGGTCATGAAATGTCTGCAAGAAAATAACCAAGCTCAGAGATCACCAAGGATCCCTCATTTTAATCCTGAGCTACAAATATTGTCCTTTAAAGTTGGGGTTATGATTCACAGTGGCTGCCAAGTAATTTCAAAGTGAGATCCATTTTTTTGGGGGAACTCAGGATGGTAAACCACTTCTAACTGGACTAGACAACTGGGATTGTCCCTGACCTTAGAGGGAGGTAGAATCTGAGGTAGAAAAACAAGGGAATATCAGAGGGGTGGGGTTTTATGGTTTTTAGGTTGTGGATTTCTAATATTGTCAGCCACCCAGAATCACCTATGAGTTCCCAAGGGTTCTGCTGCTAGTCTCTTTGGCATTTAAGATTGAAAATGAAAACTTTTTTCTTTTTCTGAATTGGAGAGTTCAAAGAACCTTTCTTTAAATCAAAAAGATTAACCAAATGGAATTTATTCCATTGATTTTCTTGGTTTACTTTGTGAATCATATGTATAATTATTTTCTTTTCCAAGAATTGATTGGTATAGTAGTTTCCAGAATATGTAATATCCCTCTGTAGAGGAGAGCAAAAATCAAGCTATGTGACTATCATGCCTAAATTCTTCAAGAAAATACAGTGTTTACGGAAGTGTTGTTTTCCTTCCTCTGCTTGGTCTCTAGGATAAAACCTTTAAGTAATGTTTTCACTATCTTTGGGCTTCTCATCTGTTTAGGTCACAGCCCTTTGTTTCTATGTTTTCCTGCCTCACCATATCTCTGTTATAGCTGGATTTATTTATGGTATCAAGCAGACTGCTTTGTTTGGTTTTGGGTTATACTTGCCACTGTGGCTTAGAAATGCAGTCTATGGTTTAACATGTTTTGGGAACCCAAATGCTGATTAAATATATCAATATGAAGCCAAAAAGTGCCTTATTTTGTTTTATTTAGCCATCTAGTTTATGATTTATTCATCAAACTATGATTAGGCAAATAATGATTTAGTATAATGTGTGGACCAATTCACGGTAATGGGAGAACAAAGTTTCTAGACTTTCACTAATTGTGTGGAAGACAAATTTTCAGCATATCTAATACGATTACAGCTGCTGAAAATGTCCTCTTCTATGTAATTATGCAGAAGCTGCCTCCTCTTCTAAATCTGGCCATCTCCATTAGCATGCACTTCATTTTTGTCAATATATTTAGTTCTTCTAACAAAATGGTATGATTGCTAATATAAGAATCTCATACAATGGAATTCATAGTGGTGACTTAATTTCAAGATATCAATTATAATCAAGTTCCTTAAAAATTATCTAAAATTTAAGAGAACAGCTTCAGCACTGAAAAGCATTACAAAGGATGCTGAGGAGTCGTTTTCTATATGATCTTGTCCAAGATCTTTTGGAATTCAATCATTTGGCTGAATAAGCTATTTTGGTTCTGTGTTGAAGATAAAGAACCAGCCTCAGAGTGTAGCTGTATTACAATGATTTCACAGCATGGAAATCAGTGGGTAAATAATAGATTCATTCTACAGGAGAAAGCTATGAGCAATTGCCTGAAAAGGGAGCCATATTTTTGGTTGCACTGGAGTTAGAAAATTAGTTTTTCTAAAAAGCAAAATTAATTTAAAAAATGTAAATAACTTCAGTGTGCAAGTCTTCTCAAGTTTAAAGAGTTTCATGCTAACTGAGAAATAATACTGCTTCCTTGTTATGCAATCTCTGTGCAAAAACAAAACCTAGAGATTTGTAAATAAGCAGCTTATTCTAAAAATGAATTTCCTTTGTGCCTAGACCACATAAGGGTTGCTTTGGACATCCTTCAAGGGAAACAGGGAGACCATGAGGTATAATATCTCCTCCACATCCTAGTTTGGATTCAAATTTCCATAGATGATACAACTTGTATTTCAGGTTGGCATTATTTGGCACTGGAGATGAGAGATTTAAATTTAATGCTCTCCATTGCTGGCTTCTGCAAACATATTTATTTCAATTTTTAAAAGATTCATAGCAATAAAGTTGCAGCTACTTTTTATGTTTTTTGATGTTGTTTTGTGGCTGTAACATATACATCTGAAAAATTAGTCTTAAGGAACTAATTTTGGAAACCACGTTATCCTTGATAATGCTTGATAACGTGAAACACATTTTATGCTTTTTTGTGTTTGTTTTTGAACTTCACTATCATCAAATGGGTAATCTTTCAGAACTTAAAATAAAGCAGGATCAATCCTGGTTTGTGTTGGGATGGCATACTATCAGGAATTCCCAGGGTGATGGGCTACACTGGAAAAAATTAATAAACAGAAGGAGGCAGTGGCAAATCTTTAATAGCTGTTAATAAAATTACATAGACATATTTACAAAATGATCAATAGCTCACTTTAAATGAATCCTTTTTAGCATCAGAAATAAGAATTGGTAGATTTCAAGTTTAATTATCTTTGTATCAGATGTTCATGCAATATTCTACAATATCAAATATATTTTTTTAAAAAAAGGAATGGCTAGGCGCCATCTAAACTGAAGAGACTGCTATCAGTGTAAGAATCCAGCTTCAGACTGCACTGTAATGCAGGGGTCTCCAACCTTGGCAACTTTAAGAATTGTGGACTTCAATTCCCAGAATTCTGGGACTTGAAGTCCACAACCTTCGCTGGCTGAGGAATTCTGGGACTTGACATCCACAAGTCTTAAAGTTGCCAAGGTTGGAGACCCCTGCTCTAATGGCAAAGTGCATCTTAGCTTCCAGTTTTAATGCTAGATTATGTATCGATCAGTGTTGATAGTATTGAGTTAGGTGAAACAATATTTGATTAGGTTCAAACACTACACTGAATCATGGATTATAAAATATGACATGATAAACCAGAAGCAAACCAACTCTTGCTGGGCTGAGAAACATGCTTAACATACTCAGACCAGGTTAGAATTAAATACTGTCCTTTCCAATGACACTTAAATTTAATTCAAGTTAAATATGCTTATATGATTACTCTTTAATATCTATGTAATATATATTAAGTGTAATATCTTCCACTTTGACATATTAACATCTACAATTGCTGACAGTTTTTAGAAGGCCACATCAATGGCTTTGAAGCGCATATGTGGCTCTCCACCCTTAGTTTTTGCACCTCAGCACCAACTTTAAACTATTCTGTACATCATAACACAATATATGACTCAAACTAGTATATGGAAACTGTCTTTATTCCAAGTCAATTTTTGCTTGTCCCTTTGATGAATTGATAGTCCCCCTATCTGTCTTCTTAGAACTGACCCTTGACTTCGATGTATTTCTAGAAGAACAAGCTCCTCTTTCAATCTTCTTAGTCCTGTACATAAAAATAAGTTCCAGGGCATTCATTAACATAAGAACAAATTCATGGCAGGCTGCCAGAAGTCAGGAGGTGGTATTAGGGATGTGGAATTATATTAATAATAAATAGCATCTGCCTACAGTAATTGGAGACAAGCAAAGACCAATAGGAAAGCATTTTATTATAGCCCAATCCAATAGATCTGTGTCCTGGAATGGGAAGGCATAGAAAAAAAATATATGAGGAATATTAGCTGGTTCAATCTACACTTAAATTTCTGCTTGAAAGTTTAAGGTAAACATGTACAATAGGAGACATTCAGGACTCCATTCAACCACCTTAAAACCTTGGCTTACTCTTACGCTATTCTTAAATATCTAAACTTAAATCCATAAGGTTTTATCCTGGCTTCATACTTTGCGCCTTGTTCCTTCCCACTTTTAGGATTGCAAACTCTGATCTACTCATTAAAATCTCTGAGCCATATAGGTCCTGAAAAAAGTTCTACTCAACTGTCTTCTAGGTTGTGATAGCTCACAACACTTGAGCCAACCCTACCTGCAAAGGCTAAAGAACTTTATTTTCATGCATGTTTTTGCTTCTGAAAAGCAACCCTGAGAGAGAGGAGAACGAGAACTTTCCCCTTTTCACTTGGACTCCCTATTCTCATCGTGACTTTTGTGTTGTTTCACAAGCAGAAATGGTACAAAAAGAGACAGCATCTTTGGGAACAACAGAACACAGGCCTGTCATACAAGGGCCTGGGGCTTGCACTATGCAGAACATGGAGCCTGTCCCTGGCTGGCACTCTGAGCTGTTTTCAGCAGCTTTGGGGGAGAAGCATAGAGTGGGCAGTGTCTGGAACTACAGCTTCTGCATTATTCACGAGGGGAATCCACAGAGAGGGGAGGGAGGAGGACTAAACAAGAAGAGAGTGGAGCAGCGTGGCGGCGTGTGCCCTCCCATTTGCTGTGGCTTGGTGGGTTTGAGATAATGAGCCTCTATGTAAGCCACAGAGGAGGAGGGCTGGCCCGGGAAGGGTAATTCTGCAGCAGTTAGATGGCATCTATCTTTTGACCCTGGAAAAAGGTCTGCTTAGTTTTCTCAGCTGTGGAAGGCCAGAGGTCTTCTTCCTTGGAAACAGTGAGAGACAGTTTTGTGCACCCAACTGAGCAATTTGGATGTTTCCTGGATTTTTGCAGCCATGATCAAAACATCCCAGGCCTTGCATGAAGGACCTTCTAATTTCAGATAAAGGTGACTGAGAGATGATTGAACACCAGCCCTGGAAGGGGAGGGAGGGAGGGAGGGAGTTGGGAAAATTGTTTAAGTGTGAAGGGTGATAAAGGTAGGTCTGCTTGCTTATTTAATACTGACAGAGGGCTGGAATGGGCTGGAATAGTCATTATAAGCTGCTAAAGTAGAGTCATGCAAGTGTATAACTGTGTAGTCAAAACTCTCTATGCCATAAATCCTTTGTAAAATGATGGTGCAATATAGAGTCAAGCCCTCTGTTTCTGCCTAAGAAAACAACAGCTCTGGGCTCTTCTTTTGTAACAACAGATTTAGCATCGCAAAGAACTGGCAGATATTTTTTGTATCGTATCCCCATTTTACTTCCTGACTTCATTTGCAGGACATTGCATTCGACTTTGGCACTTCAAGCAGCACCAATCTATCTCCCTCAAGTCCTTGTCCTTATCCCCCGCCCCCATTGATTGAACGGTCTCACAGTCCGTGGAGGTTTCATATCCATCTAAATTTAAAGAGATGGGGATGAAAGACATTGGGCTTTTCTTGTCAGTTTATGAAAAACAAACAATTTTCAAATGAACATGTTCTTGGGATGTTTTGATTCTCAACTCATGATTAATACAGGATACTGTATTAATGATTAATAGAGGATATTGATTGAAGAGATTTGAATTTTGGAATAGAAATGTTGGAAGCTGTCTTCTCCATTTGTAGTAGAAAGGTTGAAATGATTAGCGAGTGATGGGGTTATTTGTTTTTTAAAAAGTCTCCAGTAATGGGTTTTTCTCTAAAAAAAGAAAACCAACCCTTTGGGTTCCAAATACTGTATCCTTCTTAAAATTCCTTATATAATCTATAGTTTTGCTTATGCAAACTTAATGTAGCCTTTCTTCTCTAGAGTCTTTGTACTCTGCTCATTTGTATTCACTAATTTTTAGAAATTGTTTACTTTTGATTGTATTTGTTTCCCCCTATTGTTATTAGCTGCTGTGAGCTTTTTAAAAGAAAACTGGGTCAACTCAAATGAACCAGTATTTCTAAATGCAGAGACATTTATTTCGAGTAAGAAGTTTCTAGGGTAGAACATTTTTTTTCCATTTCTGTAAAGGAATTGGTTCATAAAATGAATTAGTAATGTAATGAATGGAAAGGAGTCAAAGTATTTTATTCAGGGCATTGTCATTAAGAAACAAAGTTACATGACTTACTCTTTAAATTAAAAACAAATTACATTTGTATTAGTGAAGTAACACATTTATTGCTTGAAAATGGCATATTTGATCTTTATTTGTTTTAATAATCAAGTCTTTTAAATCAAGTTCTTTTACTGTTTTATAAATAAAAAGGTGAGATTTATATAGAACACGAAAAGAAATCAAAGAATTTTTTTATAAATAGTTGCATCAAAATTGTATGATTCAAAATATTTTTTAAAATCCACCTTATTCTGTGGGAGCAAGTAAATTTTAAGATATAAAGTAGCTGGGATGTCACGCCTCTCTTTATGTTCACATAAGCCAAATTACATGTGTTCAGAATCTGTACTGTTTCTTGGATGAACTATGAAGTTAGGCATAGCTTGGATCTGCTATAGTGTTAATGTAGGAATGTAAACAATAAATCACAATAGGGGTGCCCTATTTATTGCCATGTTTATATAAATAGAACATAATACATTGGGGTAGCTCAGAATTGTTTCTCCAAGCTTCTTTAAATTACTCTCCAGGTTAACCACTGTATTGCTGTTTTAGCATTTGATGGCATTAGTGATCATATCTATACTATAATATATTAAAAATGCTTGTATTATAATGCTGCATAGATTTGTTCAGTTGTTGAATTGTAATGTCTCCTATAAATATACACAGATAATTAAAAGCCAAAAATTGTCATTTTATTTAAACAGATGAGAACTTGGATATATGAAATTGTCAGATTATTTCAATACAAGCTTCAGATTTTTTATTTTAAAATTAAAAGAAACCGAGTCCAAGTCTTTACCTGCAAACTAAAAACCTCTGAAAATTCACTGTTTCATGGTTATGGTTGACATTTTAATTTCACTAGAAAAGAATAAAAGATAAGGGAAGAGGGTAATGTAAATGGCAACAGCTGATGTGATTTTATTTTAAGGACTGTGTTAAGAGTCAGAAAAAAAGTACTTTAAATTTCCCAGTTACCTGAGTGAGAACAAATTAATTTGCATGGTGGGAGATTATAAATAATTCAGTCCCACCAGGATTATACCATTTCAGAAAAAGAAGGGAGGGAAACTGTTTTCATGTCTTCTCCCACCAGTGCTCTGCGAGAAAAAATCTAGGGCATCAGTTGATATGTTAAATAATAATAATTCCTACTTAGTTTTTCACTAAGGAAAAGGAAAATAGGAATTTTGACATGAAAATTCAACAGCATCATCTCTCAATTGCTTTATGGAATGGTAAAATCCCACTAAATTAACTTTCAGATACATTTGCTGCAGAAACCACAAACTTCATTAAATTGCATGTATTAAAACATATTTCTGGGTACCAGTATTTTTGGTTAAAACATATTTTTGGACAGCAGTAGTTTTGAAGTACTTATTTTATATGATTAAAGTGGAAAAGAAGAAGCATGAGCTCTTATATTTCAGTAAAAAGGAGGGTAAAAACATGCTTGTTTCCTTGCCAGTTTCACAAATGAACCATTCATGCGTAAATGGAGCAAGAAAGGAAATGGGATTTTCGGAAGGTGTTAATAAGATGTACTGATTGTACCACTGGGATCAGAGGTGGTGTGTGTGCATTTCATAAATTAATAGGAAAAAAGCCTTGTGGTTAATTACAATTCCAGCAATTTATTGCTAGAGTCCTACCCTATTAGACACTGCAGGGTGCAGAGAAAAGATCAGGTGCTAGTTTTAGGGCTAAGGGATCTGTAACCATTGGAGGGGACTTCCAGAGCCTCCTTAGAACACTTTTGTAGTTTAAGTTAGAAGGAATATTTCTTTCAACTTCTTTAAATTCGTTTTATCCATGAAATGTTCTTGCCTGTATTACTGCAACATGGTCTGCATAGGGCTGTCCTTGAAAAACATTTGGAAGCTTCAACTAGTGCAAACTAGCTGCACTGTTAGTAAATGGTGTCAGATGTTCAACACATGTAACAGCATTATTGCATGAACTGCATTGGTTGCCTGTGTGCTTCTAAATGCAGTTCAATGTGTTGGTTGCCATCTTTAAAGTCCTTCATGGCTTGGGATTGGGTTACCTGAGGGACCATCTTCTCCCAGTGGTTTCTACCCATCCAATTTGGTCTGGGTGGTTGGGCATGCTATAGATCCTGTTATCCAAGGAATGTCAGCTGGTGGAAACTAGAAGACATACCTTCTCTGCCATAGTCCCTGCCCTCTGGAACGTTTCCCCATCATAATTAAGGATGAGTCAACTCTGTCAGCCTTTCATAAAGGCCTTGAAGAACTGGCTTTGTACCCAAGTCTGGGGCCCCAAGTCTGGGAAGGGCTCCATTTCTTGGCTATATTGACATCTATAATGACATTTTTCTCAACTGCCATATATATTAAATTTTATACTATATTGCAACTATTTTAAATTCTTTTATGATTGTTTGCCACACAGAGTCACTTCTTTGAGATGGGTGGCTATAAAAATTGACTGAATAAATGTATTGTTACTGTAGAATCATAGGCTTAATTAATAACATGACAACTTCTCAGTAAGGAAAAATGTCTAATGAGGAATGTTAGCATATGACAAATTGCATGTTCTGCATATTAGTTTCTTGCCTTCAGGCTTATAATGTAATTTACTACCCTTAATATTTATGAATGAGATCAAGTTCCATTCCAGTCTGTACAGCCAGTCAGGTATTATTGTATATTCATAAGCAAAGCAACAGTTGTTCCTAGTTTGGTCCCACCACATTTGGTAATACATAATCTCGGAAGCTGTAATAATACATGTTGCAGATAGGAATGCAGCGGAGGAAGAAGGCGAGCAATGCAAGTTGGAATGTTGAAAACAATGTTGAAAAACTGTGGCACAAGCTCTGTCCCATTTGTGTATCATGATGTGGAATGCAGGTATGAACAGGTGGATTTGTGCTGCAGCAATGCTGGTGATATTTTTTGTCATTTTGTTAAAAGCAGCAAGATCCGGTCAATATCCTTATTAATGAATCTGAGCAGATAAGAGAATCTGACATATCTCTAGAAAGGATATTTATTTTTCTTCTAGGCATGTGACTGGTTGATTGATCCTCTGTTGAAGTATACTAAACTCCATAGCAAGTAACAGCTTATTTTTCTTAAAGCTATTTTATTTTTACAGCGAAGTGTCATGATGTCTTAAGAATTCAGTACTAGATATCTAACTCATAATGGTGGGGTTTTTTTGATCTTCCCCCAACCTGAAATATACATTTATGAATTTGTGTGCATACATTTATTTATTAAATTTAAACAGGAAACGTTTATTTGTTTCATTAAGTTACCACACGCCTTGGATCTATGAGTTGCAAATATCCCTCAGAATGCATTCTTGAATTCATTATGGAGCATATTTTTCCTCCCAGGAGCAGGAAAATGGCTGTCTTCCAAATATTTGGACTATTACTGCTATCAACACCCGCCAGCTTGGCCATTGGCATGGAACTTATAGCAGCTTTGCTCTCTCCTAAAATATTTGAGCCTGGATACCTTTAAAATGGCGACTTTCATTAATTGTGAAAGTAATATGCTATCCTTTTAGAACTGTGAAGTGCAGAGGCAGTTCCTGTCTTCATTTTTTTCCTATTCTTGTCCCCCAGGGAATCCAGTATTTACTTTCTCTTTGTAAATGAAAATCCCAAACTCTAATCTCCATGAAAATAGATGCATTAAGCTAGATTGAAGCTTGTGATAAATAAGATCTACCGGAAAGTGTGCATTGGGTTTAGAGACTTACTATTTCAACCCTCGTTGTCTAGTTTGGCTGTCTTTTGGACTGAATCTGAAACGCTAATGATATAGCATTTCTTTTCAACAAAGCAAGGAAGAAAAAAGTATCTTTTGTATGTGTGTGCATTTATTCATACATATGCTGTAAGATAAGCAATTGAATTTGAGGTAGGAAGATGCAGTCTGGTCTCTTTTAGTTAGCAATGATTACAGCAGTTAATGGATGAGACTAAACTTGTTACATTGCCTGGAAATGAGTTCTACCATGTTACTCTTTTTTTTACTGATGCAGCAGATTTTAAAGCAAATATGTTCAAGAATCTCAGATATGTCACTATTACACATTACACAGATTTTCTTTCTGGTATTTAGCTATTGTCTCCCAACCCTGCTAATTTACAGGTATATGGAGTTCTACTTTCTGAATTCTCAGTAATTGCCATGCCTGGCTATGGAATTCTGAGATCTGAAATTCACCCAAGCTAGAAGTGGCTAAGGCTGCAAAAGGAAAAAGGAATGTTAGTATAGAGGTGTCTCAAATATGCAAACATGTTAGCTTTTTTTAGTTTGGTACTATGCAAATACTGAAAGCAGTGGAGTTGAAATCTTGTTCAAGCAGATGGCATTGCAGTTCAGATAGTAGTGGAAAAAAAAAAGGATTGGAATCCTGTCTGATAATTCCTATATACACTGCCAGAAGCAAAATGGCACAATTTTTCATGAATAATTTTCATCACTTTCTTCACTAGGGAATTCCTGTGCATCAATGCAGGTTGTTATGGATACCAGAAAACTGCCTTGCTCCCCATGGATTGTAACAAAAGGCGGATGACTGTGTTGCCCTTAACAGAAGATTGTGATTGGGTTTTCTGTGTTATTTGGGGGGGGGGATACACAAAGTATGATTTGATTTAGTGGCAATGAAAGTATTTCTCAAGACTAAATGGAAATATACGTTTCTATATAATAGTCTAACAAAAGAATTATTAAATTTCATGTAAACATTTTAAATATACTGGGATTTTAAGGCACTCTGTGTTTAGAGAAAGAAGGCTTCTTAGTAAATTGTGGTAATCGGGTAATAGTAGCAGATCCTCTGAATGATCAATTTGTAGGGTCTTGCAATAATCAGCATAATTGTACCAGTACTCAGAATTCACACATAGATGCATTGCCTGAATTAATTCAGATAATAGTTTTGTCTCTGACAAAAAGTTTCCAAAAGCAGATGGTTTCAGAGGAATAAAAAAATTGTATTTCTGATGAGCATTTCATATTTCAAATTGATTTAGAGCAGAGGTCTTCAAACTTGGCAGTTTTAAGACTTGTGGACTTCAACTCCCAGAATTCTCCAGCCAGATATACTATGCTGGCTGGAGAATTCTGGGAGTTGAAGTCCACAAGTCTTAAAGCTGCCAAGTTTGAAGATCCCTGATTTAAAGGGTTGAATGAAAACAAATAGAGTCCAAAGGGACCCATTACTGGTAGAACTATAGTTTGGGTTGTCTCTTATTCTCTTGTTCTTAGTTTCACCTTGCAGGTGATTAATTAGCCCCTAATATACCTGACCAGAAATGTGTAATGGTAACATGATGTATTCGGTTTTATGTTATCTGTTTGCATTTGCCAGTTGACCAGATCTGAGGATCAGTTTCTCAGTGAAGCTTAATGTGCAGAGAGAAAAGTGATATACAGTAGGTAGATTCTCACCTTAGGTAACCTAACACTTCTCTCATGTGAAACAAGAACAAAAGGAAAGCCCTCTGATTCTTATTTAGCACAGTGTTGCTTACAGCAGTGACTGGCAATATCTATTCAAGATTTCAGATACTTTCCTGACTTTATTTGAAGCTGACAAGATCTATACATGCTATACTATACCACAGCACAATTGATGGCTAACATATGATTGTGATAGGTAGGAATGCAAGAAGCATTTCTCCGCTGGGATAAATAGATAGATCCGGTTATAAGCAAGATTAATATCAGTGCTTTGTTTATCAGTCATTCTTTACATACCCAGAAGGAGCATTTATGTACTGTCTTTGAAAGATGTTCCTTCTTCCTGTGGCAGATTCTGCTTTGGTACATTTATTAGATCTTTAGAGGATGACTTAAAGGGATGTAAATGGCTTTAAGCATGCATGACACAGTCAGTTTAAGGTGAAGGCAGGTCATAAAAGAATGCAGTATGCATGGGCTTTTAAAAATTTCTTACTGGATACTTGAAACCCTTACCTTCTTTGTTCCTTGCAATCATTGCTTTTTCCTCAATAGTTTGCTCAAAACCATTCTAGATTTATGGCACTCCCACTACTTTTTAGCTCTTGTGGGGCAGATTGAACAGCTTTAATCTTTCTTTCCTTCCACCTTCATTTTATGAATAACCCATGCTGACAACCACACCATGGTTGCATCTATAATATTCATTCCTCCTCCTATTTGCACTGATACCAGCATTATATTCGGTTCACATGTCTGTGGAGATTCTCAATCATCCAGGTCATGGCTGAACCAAAGGTGCTTTTCAAAAGACAAGTGTACTTTCTTAGTTTTTTCTTGAAAATGTTTCACTTCTCATCCAAGAAACCTCTTCAGTTCATCTATGGTTCATTCAGTTCACGTGTTATGAGTGTCTGTAGGTGGAATAGATAAAAGAACCATACATGTGAGTGAATCAAATGCTGAGCTCAGATGTCGAGTAAAGCCAGTGTTTCTCAACCTTGGTAGCTTGAAGATGGGTGGACTTCAACTCCCAGAATCCCCCAGCCAGCATTGCTGGCTGGGGGATTCTGGGAGTTGAAGTCCACCCATCTTCAAGCTACCAAGGTTGAGAAACACTGAGTTAAGCTGTTATACGATTTGTTTTGTATTGATTTAGCAGGTTGTTTGAACTAAGCCACATGTGAGTTATTCAACAAACCATGATTAAACAAAACACCGAGTGGCCTGAAAGCAGTCAGCATAATGTAGAACATGTGGGAGTTAAATCAGGGAGTCTTGGGTTTAAATTGTTGCTCAGGCAGATACTATAGTTAATTGGACACTGAAGGCTAGGGATTCTCTCTGCTGAGCTTTATCTTAAAAGGTTCTTTAAAAGTAAAAGGAATAAGATTAACCATAATAAATATAAAATAATAAAACATTCACATTTTCAGAAAAATTAGGAAAGATATGTACCTTTATAATGAAGAGAAGGGTACGTACCTCATTTCAGTGTTTCACAGGATATATTATCTTTGAAGAATATGAAAAAATTGGCTGCTTTCATCCAGAGGGCTAAAGAAGCCCTTATACAGTGAGTGAGATGGCCGATGGCATTTATTATTATTTTTTTACAGTCTTATGAAATTAACAAATCTTTCCATTTATTCTGTACTGATTTTAACATTATTAACATCATCAATTTCTATATTGCTTTTTAAAATGCCTTTTTAATATCAGCTGAAATACAGACACATGGAAGCTGCACACATCTTAAGACCATAAGAAGAACTGCACACTGTGGTGTTGTATAGAAGCACCACAGGAGGAGAGCAGAAATGCACCCACACAAACAGATGCAACGTGTGGGAACAGAACTGCATATACTCTTTGATTAGTCCCTGGGGAAGGAAGTGCACACATATGTCTGTTCTGATACATAATGTAACAAGGGTATGTTTCCAAAATGTGAACAGAATATAACCAACAATGGACCAGACTGGGCCAGGAACTGTGGAAAAAAGAATTCCAGAATCCTCCTAAGGCTACTCTGTAAGAGAGAAACTAGACAAAGGTTTGGAATGTTGACACCTCCTCTATTCTAAATCCCCTCCACTCCTCCTGGTCATATGATCCCAAGAGAAGTCTATGCAGCTCTGTCCTTCCCAGTGCACACATACTCAAAACACACAGACACACAACATGAGGGGAGAGTAGAAATACACGAAAATACAACATGTTATTTCTTTATGCTGAAGAGAACCTCTGTGGCCAGTGCTGCTAAAGGATGTAGGGGAAAAATCCAAAAACCAAAGCATGTGTACTCTAACTTGATTCTCCCTTGTTGCAAAAGCACCATCATTTCTTGCAATTATAGTACAATTCACTTTTAAATTATTGCTCCAGCACAATTCTTTAGGCATGAATTGACTAGTGGGTTTTCAAAAATGCAGCGTTCATTATTGACAAAGCAAATGTATGTCATCCTAATTCTCTAGCACCAACACTAGTTGTTTGTTGCTGTTGCTTGGATTTTTTTAGCATTATGGTTGGTTGCAAAGTCAGGCAGATGTTTAGACTGGATTTAGCATGTTTGCCATCTGTCAAGTCCTTCCCAGGAACCTGGGATATTGTTGTTTGATGGTGTTAAAGGGATCTTTGTAAGATGTAAGCTATTCCAAGTATAGCTGCCTTTTGCAATTGACTGATGGCGATTTTGTCAATGTCGACAGTGTTCAAGTGGTGCTCCAGATGTTTTGGAATTGCACCCAAGGCAACTGTTACCACTGGTACTATCCGTGCTTTCTTTTGGCAAGTTATGATTGGTTGCATAGTCAATCAGATGCTTAGACTGTATTTCACATTTTTATCCACCTATTATTATCATTGCATTTGACCAAAAGAAATACAAGCCTGAATTTAAGACAATCTCTTTCTTCCAAAGGAAGAAAGGTTGGACAAGAGAAAAATATAAACTAAAAACCCCTGTAATCTGCTTAGTTTTGTTACTCTGCCTGCTAGAATTGTCAAAACAAAAACTCCAATCCTGGGAGTTTTATCTCATAAAAAATGTATTGGTGACCCACATGGATATGCTAAAACAAGACTTGACCTTTTCTAAGTTTAGAAGCTGAGATTGGACTTTCTCAGATCTTCAGAGAATACAAAGCTATTGGTTAGGAATGTCATATCTAGGCTACAAAGACCATCCAGACCATCACTAGATGGCAAGAAAAGAGATGCCCAGAACTTCTAATTCTTTGCTGTCATCTGGTGATAGTCCAGATTGTTGCAGCCCAGTTAGTTTATTCCTATTGTGGGCTAAACTAGGAAGTAGGGAAAAAAATCTTGCAAAAAGATAATGGCAAACAATTTTTGCATTGTTGCCCAGAAAACTACAGGGATATACCTACAAAATAACAGGTAGTTAAATCTGACTCAAAGGTCTTCTTTGATTTTTTTTAATGTGTCTGTGGGGGAGGGGGGCATTATCTAGAGACTGCACTCCTAAACAATGAGAGCCAGGACAAAAAGTTAACATTTAATGGAATGACTAAGGACTAAGTGGAACACGAATTGCTTGAAAAATAAAATAGAAAATTATTTTTGTACACACAGAGAGATAAAAGGACTACAGGAAAGAAATCTGCCCCCATCTCAAAATAAAAAAAAGTTATACATACTTTACTCTGTAATAGTCCCAGTTCCAATTCACTGATTATTTATGAGGGGAAAACTATTTTTCCTTTTATGAAGACGAGTCTTTAAAAATCAGCAGAGAAATTGATGAAATCAATAAAGTTGGAAGCCGTTTAGAGCAAATTACAGACTTTTTCAATGTCATGAGGCTTTTCTTCTTTACTTCTTTCTTCTTTTAAAAGGTCATATTTATCAAATTAGTCTTGGTGACAAGATTTCTTAGCTATCCCAGGTTTCCTAGGCAGATAATTTCCTCATATCTCAATCCTAACTCTTGGCTATAGCCTTATTTTACAAAATATATGTTCAGAGCACACATGTAAATTTGGGGCTGTGAAATAATTCACAGACTAAGATTGCAATTGTGTGTAGAAAATAAACCACACCATGGGTTCCAAGGTCAATTGTCTTCAAATGCATGTAGACAAAGATCAGAAAGGTAATCAAGCTAGGAGAGAAGTTTGAAGGTTTAAAATAACCCAGGCATCTGAAAATAGTCAAAGCAATGAAGTTTTTATGAATACACAGATTGTTCCTTGGCTTTTCAGTCTTGCCTTCCATTTTCTTGTTTGCAAATATTATTAGAATTTTATGCATATTTGAGAATGAGGGAGTCTTGCAAATATTTGGCTCAAACTTAAAACACTTGATACAAAACCTTAGCATTCACAAACTCCTCATTAGGAATTTATTTTAGCCAAAGTGAAACATGTTCAATCTTTATCAAAGTATGAAAATAGTATGCAAAAAGGAAAAATAACATCCCAGTTGAGTTTCCAATACTGTTTAAGAACTTCTAAAGAATTTCTCTCCCACTCTTTTATCCACCAGGGTGATGGGTCATTGTGTCCAAACAGCTGGAAATGATCACTTAATACATCTTAACAACTTCCAAAGGGGAAGCATTGTTGTTCTTAATACATGGTAGAGACACTTTAATAAATACAGTAAAATATTTTGAAAAGGCATGTTTTCAAAATACCACTTTTATTTTGAAGAAAACACTTCTGTGGCCCCATACGTAATATGTATTCTTGATCTGGATTTCTTGGTGAAAATACGTTCTAGATATTAACTGCTCAAAAAAGGGCCATTTTAAAAAAAGTCAGGGTCAAATAGACTCTCAGGTGATATGAATAGGTGAGAATAGGAGACATAAAAAGACAAAGCACCCACACTTAAATCTTTCCTTTGGAATGTTTGGGGTGATATGATAAAGGAAAGTCTGAAATATTTCAAGTGTAACAACAAACAAAGGAATTTGTAGCATATCACTGTTTCCTGTTTTTGCTGTACTAGAAACAGAACACTAAGTGGGCTGGTAGTTCATGCTGAATGCTTCCTACCAATGGCCTTCAGAAAGCATAGCTGAAAAGAACGTAAATATTTAGCAAATAGGCTACAAGATGTATGTTTCATCAGTCCCCAATCTGATATTAAGTACGAACCAATAAATAGGGTGATATATTAAAGGCATAGCACAGATTTAGAATGGAGCATTATCAGTTTAAAAAACTCTAAAAATATAAAAATGCATACAGTATTATAATGCTACTACTATAAGGCTAGCCAAAAAAAATTCAAAACTTTTCATTGAATTCAGTGATAAAGAAGGGGAAAAATGGTCATTATAGAAAAGAGTTTGTACGCATTTTCTACTGAGCCATAATGTTTTATGCCTTTGGTTTAGTATGATGACTAAATCCTTCTTTATGTTCTACAAATCATTGCTTATGACTTAGTGTTATTTACAAATCACACCACTTTGACTTGTTCAACAAACCATGTTTAAAATAAAGCATAAAGTACTGAAAATGGGCTCCAGTATGAGTCTGAAAGCTCAGAAAACTAAACTTCTGGTCCTGGTGACTGACCCAGATTGGATCCCATAATATCCTGAGACACATATATTCACCTTCATTTGAAAATAAAGCATAGTTTAGCATGATCTGCAGTCCAAGCTAAAGTGATGTATATAGCTGTTCCCACAAGAATCCAATTAGTAGCATTGGAATAAGAATATTTGACTAGATATGCCTTTCATCTATTTTATAAATCATTGTATTCTGAAAAGAAATAAAATTGTATCACTTTATAATTGGAAATAATAGCTCTTCAAGGACCAATGTCTCTTTTCCATAGTTGTTTCAAATATATTAATTAAGATGAGAACTACAATATTTTGTAAAGTTAATGTTTAAGTAGGTTTGTCATTCAAAAGAAAACTGTTTCCATGTTGGCACGGAAATAAAGGTCAAATCTCACCTCCCTCCCATCTTCCTCAAGTGTGTCACTTGGAAGCTTTAATTTCTGGGCACATTTACAGAAAACCTTGGCATGCTAGAGAACATGCTGTTAGTAACAGGCAGGAACTGTGTGCAGAGAAGAGAGTGAGTCCCTCAATGGCCTTTCAATCTATAGTTACCTCAAGTGTTTAGAGAGGAGAAAACCACAAAATGAAGAAATCCAAAAGGCATGTCTACAATATCTCTTCAGTAACAAACCAATCAGGGTCTTTGGCAATAATCACATTCATTTGCCACCCATATATTGAGGAAATTGGGACACTCATGATAAATTAACATCCTTGTATCACCACATATGGTAGAAGCTTCAGAGCTGAAGAAGCTTCAAAGAAAAACCAGAAAGTCCGGTTGCCTCTTGAAAAGGCACCTATGGGACAACCATGACCGGGATGACTGAGAATCTCCATAGACATGTGATAGAAAGCTAATGGCACTGGATCTTGTAACAACTCATTTTGTTCTGACAAGTAGGAAAGTTCACTCCAATATATGCTAAAGCAGGGGTGTCAAACATGCGTTGTCACGTTGTCGTCATGTGATGTATCGTGACTGTTTCCCCTTTGCTAAAATGGAAGTGGGCATAGCCAGTGTGTGGCTACGGGCCGCGAGTTTGACACCCCTGTGCTAAGGTAAATATTGTGAAATAAATCAAAAGTAGAAGTCCAGTGCTGTTTATTAACAGTAGCTTTGGAGGAAGCAAAAATCAAGCAAGATAGAAACCCACTGAAATTATATGGCGATTGTTGTTTGTCCCAGATTGCTATTCTTTAAATATTTAATTATATTACTTTTACAATTTCAGTTTCAATTTTTAAAACTTCCTTCAATACACTGCATGTGACTTAAGGACAAATTGTATGCTATATTTATGCTATTTTAAAAAAATAAATAAGACCCACAGAATGGGGAAAGATTGGAATCTTCATCTATATGTGGGGTAACAGTGAAACCCCACCCCACCCCAATACTAGAAAGAAATAGTAGCTCAATAGAGAGCAAAAAGTGTAATTTGCTTTCCCATATGTTCTAATCTTAAATAGAGCTGCTATATCTTTCAATTTAAAAAAAATCACTATGTCTGTGAATTTTGGATACCTCCTAGGTTTTCTCTAATTTTCCTTCTATATATACTTGCTTGAATATTTAAGCCATCTAGGGGAACCCACCTTATACCTTTTTAGTAGGCCTGGGGCTATAAAGAAGAAAATCTTCTCAGGGATACCATCCTTAAAGCAGCTACTCCTAATTGCTACCTTTGAATCCTTTGTCATGAAGAAGACTGTTAAAATCTTTGTTGAAAAGAAATGGCCTCTTCCTACTTGACACTAACTAGTTTTTCCTTTGCCATTGATTTTGCCGCCTGCCTCACTGTCACGTAGGAATCCAAATTAAAGTACCCATGACAAATGGCTGTCTAGCCTCTCCTTGAACTCATCTAGTAGAGAGCCTACCACCTCACTGATAATTGGATCTAATGTCAATTGCTGCTAAGAAATGGTTTCCTAACATTCATTTGGAATCTGTCTGGTTGGGTTGGAATGAGCCATAATGTGATTTGCTTATTATTGGCTTAGTGTGGTGTATGAATTGAGTTATTATGGTGCAGTCAACAAAGTCTGGTTAAAACCATGGCTTAGTATGGTGTATACCATAAACCCAATCAGTGATTACGTAACTCTTGAGTTTTTATTGTGGTCTTTAATACAGTGTTGTGGTATGAAGGACAGGTAGTCCTTGACTTACAATCATTTGTTTAGTGACTGTTTAACGTTACAACAGCACTAAAAACGTGATTTAGGATTATTTTTCACACTTAATGCCTCTTACAGCATCCCCATGGTCACATGATCAAAATTCGGATGCTTGGCAACTGGCATGCATTTATGACAGTTGCAGTGTCCTGGGGTCAAGTGATCACCTTTTGCAACTTTCTGACAAGCAAAGTCAATGGGGAGGCCAGATTCACTTAACAATTGTGTCACTAATTTAACAACTGCAATGATTCACTTAACAACTATGGCAAAAAAAGGTCATAAATGGGGCAAAAATCACTTAACAACTATCTTGCTTGCCAACATAAATTTTGGGCTCAGTCGTGAAATGAGAACTACATGTAGTCTTGTTGAGATTGCTGTATAGGAAATTTCATTCCCCTTTTCAAAACATTTCTGGGTCTCTGCAGTTCACAACTCAATAGTGTTTCCTAGTCTGTGGTTCATGTGCTGTTGAGATATTTATTCTTTCCTTTGGTTATTATTCCTTAAAAATGTGAAATTGTGTTTTTTTAAAGATTTTTTCCCCTTTTCCTTTTTAATTTTTTTCCCCTCTAAACAAATGTTTGAATACTTCCTTCTGGACTGTGTGTGACTGAGTTTTGGCTACCACACTGAGAAAATTATTCAGTGACTCATTTATCTTTTGTTTTCAGCTGCTACCACCTCCGTCTATTCAACCAGATTGTTTTTGTTACTGTCGTTGCATTTTTCCACATCTCAGCATTTCTCCCAAATATTGGTTATCATGATAAGCCCAGGAACAGCCTTGCTACACATCTTCTTTTAGCCAAGAGGATACAGGTCAAGATTTAAATGGCTGAATCTAAGGTTAATTATGAAAATTCCTGGTTTTTGACTCACCTTTTTGAAAATGGCATGTAAAGCTTGCTAGAGACTCACATTGGTATGCAAAGTAAGAAAGGAAATGTTGTTCCTTGGTTTTCTTAACCTTTTCATGTCCATTATCAAATTTTATGTACTGAGAATGATGGGCCAGAGATTCATTCAGAAAACTCCCTGCATGTATACAATATGGCAAAGTACATTCTTTTAACACAGCACTCTTTTGATCAAACTGGAGAAGCAAACAACATTTCTATGTTCTTTATTAAACAAATGCCAAATGCTTATACTAATTAATAATAATTATGCTTGATTGGATGGATTTCAAAATCAGATGCGATAGTGGGCTGAAAACAGTTTCTTTGTTTCCAGGAGGCAAATAAATAACCAGAAAAGATGCAACTGCCCAAAGTCAGATAAGGACTGTGCATTTAAAAACAACAACAACAACAACAACCTGTTCTTTGGCCATGAGGAAGAATGGTTGCTTTCTGATTCTGAATAAAGAATGTTATTAGGAGGCTGGCAACGTAATCTTGTCTCCCATAACAAAGAACTGTGACCCAGAAACTGTCCAAGCTACTATCCAAGTACCTTGTTGGTGGCATCAGGAGGACAGAACGGCAGACGAGACATTTATATCTTTCTCTATCCCTCTCTTTCTTTTCCAAACATTTCTCTTCCAAAGGATAGTGAGGAAAATTACATTGTAGATTTTGCTTTCCAACATTTCTGGCATTTTAGAGAAATGTCATAGATTCAAATGAGAATCTGAATCTATATTTGTCTTACAGTCTCTGGCTACAGAACTATAGAATTATAAGAACTATTTCTTATAATTACAACAGGTGTGTACAAAATATTTCAAAGTGGCAAGAGCAGTTTTCAGTTCAAAAAGTATGGCTCCAACCTCATAAATCAATTAGGAGGCTTTTCTAACTACTGTATTTTTGGAAATGTTTTAAGCTTGAGCATCTTTGTAAATTTGGCTGTTTACATAATCTGTTTGTGTCATTTGAAAGCTGCATCAAAGCACACTTATTTCTAAACCAGTGTTCCATAAATAAGCAGTTGATGCTTAGTAAAACCCAGTTGTACTGTTCAGTTAAGAAGATATTTTAAGCAGTGGTTAGGGAAAAGAAGTACAATCATAGAATGAGATTGTTTGAATAATTCATGATTGACCCAAAGGTTCTTTTTTCTCAAGAGGCAACTGGACTTTCTTCTTGTCTCTTGAAAAAAGCACTTTTGAGACAGCCCTGATCTGGAGGACTGAGAATCTCCATAGACAAATTCATGATTGATTTAAATGAAAAGATTCCTGGAGTACCACTGGAGGAGGACAAAGAATGAATCCAACTGGGTACAAGTGAAAGCCTTTATTAGGGCTTATCTTGTGGTTAAAAGAATAGAAACAAGCTTCCTCCTCTGCTCTTATATCTTTGGAGGGTTAGCAGCCCTGTTTTGAGTAATCCAGTATCTTGTTGTTATAGGAGATCCTCCAAGACAGCTGTGAGGACTATTCTAGGTATCAATCAGATAAAGCTGCTCTAAGTTAGACTTTGGTTGGGCAAGTACAATGGAAATGGCATAGACACAATGTTGCTCAGTTATCTGGGAAGAGGTTAGACCTCAGGAAGTTGTCAGGGTCAACTTCTCACAGGTACTGTGAGGACTGTTACCTATGCTCAGGATCATGTGCCCCCCCCCCCGGGCTGGTAAAGGCTTCTTGGAAGGTGACATGGGGTGGGTCTAAGTAGTGATTAAGGCCACATTACTTTAATGTGGGATGTCTCAGGACTAGCAGTGAAATCCTACCGGTTCGCACCAGTTCAGGCGAACCAATAGTGATAAAAACTATCAGTTCGGGCAAACCGGTAGTAAAAAAAAACCCCTACCGGTTCCTTCGAACTGGTATTTCCGATGATCAGCTGTGCCGTGCGATTTAAAATCGCTAGAAAGCAGAAAATCCTGCTTTCTAGTGAATCTAAATTGCGCAGCATAGCTGTTCCCCCCTCCCACTGTTATACTTACCTTCTGAAGCCTCCATTTTCCATGCATTTGGTCCATACTGTGCACGTGAGCGTGCTCAGCGTGTGTTTTGTGTGCACTGAGCATGCGCGTGCAGCACGTGTTTGGCGTGCACCATGCGTGCACGCAGCATGCATTTGATGTGCACATGCAGCATGCATTTGGTGTGCACATGCAGCATGCATTTGGTGTGCACCATGCATGTGTGTGCATGCAACATGTGTTTGGTGTGCACCATGCATGCGTGTGCATGCAACTTGCGTTTGGTGCGCATCATGCATGCATGTGCATGCAGCACACATTTGGCATGCACTGTGCATGCACACATACAGCACACGCTTGGCGCGCAGCACGCATGCACAGCCAGCGAACCAGTAGCAAATCAGTTCAGATTTTACCACTGCTCAGGACATAGTTCTCCTGCCATTCCCATTTAACATCTGCATGAAATTACACTTCCTCTACTAATGATAGATTGAAATTCTGGTCACATCAGAGAATAATGTTAAAATGGAATTGGGCAAATATCTCATTTTTCTCACATAAAGTAGATATCTATTCTCTTCATCTACACTGAATATCTAAAGAATTTAGTACATCAAAATATGGGGGTTCAAAAGTGTCTGAAGGTTAAGGAAAGCAATATGCAATATTAAAAATGTAATAGTTAAATCTCTAGAGTCTTCCATGCATTCATTTTAAAAGGGTTTGTTCTAAAGTTGAGCGGATTTATGAGCAGGCCATTAATTTTTTTTCTTGATTTATTCTCTCTTGTTCTATAGGCTATTCAGTATTAAATCAGGACTAAGACAGAAGCATTTAAATCAGTATCCAGAACTATAGTATTCAGGTAAGATGTTCACTATATATGCTGTGCATGAGGTTGTGAACGGGTAGCAATAAAATCAGACTAAATGCCAATAAGATGGAGTAGCTGTTTGTCTGAAATTTCATTCATTATCATGATCCTGTTGATAACTTTGGAAGGGGGTTCTGCAATTTGAAAGTTCTCCTGGACTTGTAAGTCTTCCTGGATCACCAGGTGGAGCCCATGTCCAGAGGAATCACAGTATCCTAGCAACAGTGATTCATCCTTTTGTTACCACATGGTTCAACTATTATATTATGGTCTCTATGTGAGATCCTCTGAAAATAAGGAACAATTTTATAAAATATAAACATGTTCTGAAAAGCTTTTAAAATGGTGCAGTTTTGATACTGATTTTGAATGCTGTTATGAGTTTATATGATGACCACAGTCCTATCTAAGTTTGCTACTTAAACCTTGATTACCTGAAACTGAAAAAGAGAAGGAAGAGGATCTCATGCTATTTAATAGGCAATTCTGTATGGCCAGATGTATGCCTGTTTTTAAACCTAAGCTTCATATTAGGGGGATGACAGGGGCAGGGATGGATATTTGAATTCAACTGAGTTATATTCTGAAGCTTATCATTAAATTAATTTCCTGACCCTTGCTGTAGTGAAGCATGTTATTGCCAGTATGATATTAATGCCCCCACCTTTCTAGTGAGATAGTTCTCTTGTTTACCTATACTGAATCATGGAGCAGCAGTAGCTACTGTAGGAGGAAACATGGTTGAAATACTGCATTTTCCATCTACTTGACTGTTGCTCAGTTTGATTTCCTAAATTGTTACTTTGTCTATGTATCAAAGAAAAAAAGCATACATACATACATGCATACATACATACATACATATATATTCACTCAGCCAGGTATAGTTGTCATGATGTTCTTTTGATATAAGTTACGCAAAGTGAAAAAAGAGAAAAAGATAATAATCCAAAAGTTACCTCACGAGGATAGAAAAAAGGAAAGAAATCCAATTCTAGTTTACACTGATATCATTTACTAATCTTCTCTATACTTTTGTGCACATGCAAACCATCCTTGCTTATCCATGTACCACTTCTTACATTCTCTTTTATTCTTTATACTTCTCACCTCTCTCATTTTAAATAATTCATCAATTCAGCCTAGCTATAATCTTCTTAACTTCTTGAACCATTTATTCTCCAGCTCTATATTTGGTAAATGATTTGAGTTTCATTAATCCTTTCTGTATGATTAATTACCTCCAGGGTGTTTTTTCAGTATTTACCCACTTTTATATGCAGTCTGCATTCATTTAGCATGTATTCCATTCTTGACTTTATTTTATGACTCTATTTTATCATACCCTTCTGAACTCCATCCCCATTATATTTGATTTACTTTCCTTTCTATATAATAGATATAGAGAAGTATGCTGCAATACCTAGTCATTTTTTCTCTCTTTGAGAAATATTAATTCATCTTTTTTGTGGTGATACCAACCAATAATCAGGCTCTTTTGAAAGCACCCACACCAAACATTTCTGCCAAAAAACCCTGCAAGTTTTGACAGATGGCTGCGCTAACTAGTCTAGCTGTCTTCCAAAATGCATCTCCTCTCCCAGCCCATATTTAGAAGAGAGACTCATGGAAGGTTGTCTGCTGATTTTTGTAATTTTGGGAACAGAAAGGAAACAAAGTTGAGACAAAGCATCAACAATCCCTGTCCTTAGCATGCCCAGTAAATAAATAAATCAATAACTGTAAATAAAAACAGTACCATTTGCCAGCATTGTGCCAGTAATAGAATCCTAGAGCAGCAAATTTCATATTACAGATAGTCCTCGACTTCTGACCATAATCAAGACCAGAATTTCTGTTGCTAAGCAGGGCAGTTGTTATGTGAGTCACTCCTGATGTTACAACCTTTTTAACCATGTTTGTTAAGTGATTCACTGCAATTGCTAAACTGAATCATGTGATTATTAAGCAAATCCAATTTCTGCCATTTACTTTGTTGGAAGCCTACTGAAAAGATCATCAGTGGTAATCACATGATCCCAGGACACTCTAGCCATTGTAAATATATGCCAGTTGCCAAGTGCCCAAATATTGATCACATTACTATTGGGATACTTTGACAGTTGTAAATGCGAGGACAATTGCAAGGGACTTTTTTTAGAGGTTAAGTTTCAACCTCAAACAGTCACTGAACAAGTGGTTGTAAGTTGAGAACTACCTGTAATATCATTTTCTCAAAGATTGGGGTATAGCACTTTAATATGATTAAAAATAAAAGCCTAACATTAGCATCACTAAGCAATCACAATTCAGGCCTAGAGTGTGAATACGACTCCGGTACATTTAGTTTGGAGGCGGAAAAAAGATTCTACTCAATTAAATGTGAGAAATACTTTCATTACCTTGATTCAGAAAGTATTAGCCAAGTTCACTACATTTGTAATAAGCACTTTTACTAGAGGCCCATTACAGTCTGTTATATCTGAAAGTAATTGGTGCAAATTATTTGAATAATTAATGTCCCCGTATCACAATTTTGATATACACTTCAGTTAGGCAAAGATGTCTCCAAGTCCTTCTAGTCCTTGAAAACTGTAAAATAAAAAAGTCTATAAAATGATATAAGATTCCAGTCAAAATGAACTGAAATCAGTGTGTCACCATACTGCAAGGGAAAAAAAGGAGTAGTGAAAGTTATCTACAATTATAATAAACATGTTCAAAGTTAAAGAAATAGCAAGTAATTTTTTTCTTTTACTCTGTAACAAAAACAGGATGTGTTGACCATATTATCATGATCAGGAAGGCTGGATGTCCCAAGTATTTAATTCTAGCTACATATATGTAAACTTAGTAAAGGATTTTATTAGCAAAATTCCAGCAACTATATATATAAATTTTGTTAAATATATATCAAGAAAAGTAATGAAAATGGCATATTAAAGATAGACACACACACACACACACACACACACACACACACACACACCACTTACCGGTACAACAATAAATCTTATGTCATAAGGCATTTGAAGCTGATTTTTTTCTCACTTTTATAACAAAATGTTTAATTTCCTAATAATTATATATAATTAATGCTATAGTGGATTGAATTAGCCATTTTTGCTTTGCAAGCTGAGAGAAGGCAAAAACATATATCTCTGGGGGTGTTTCTGTTAGATGGTTTGCTTCCATATTCATTGTCTCTTTCACATAAACTATAATTTATTGGCTCAATACATACAATTAAACTATAAATCAGGGTGGCCAGGAGAATAGATCAAATTAAGCCAAAACCTAATAAATTGCTTTAAGACTTAGTGTGTTGGACAAATGCAGTCCTTAATACTCATAGGATACCCATCCAATTCATTTTTCTTCAGTGTCAGTGCTTTGTGTTGATCTGGCTAGGACGCACAGTTTAAATGCAGTTGAAAATAATCATGAGGTTTTTTTTTAATTTTAGCAGTACAGTTTATGTATTTTCTAGCATTGTTGTTTTTCAACCTTTTATTAGAGTCTGTCCTCAGCCATCACTTGGTATCCTTGGCTGCAGGGTTTGTTGCAGTCCAACGGCTACAGTGCTCCTGAGATGCTGAATTAGTTCACAGATTTTCAAGTCTGGCTGATCTTTCTCCTCTTCCCTTCTTCCCCCCACCCTGACACTGATGTTGCTTTGTCTGCATATGTTAGCAACAGATTCATGTGTTCAGCACCCCCAAGAGATGTTTGGATGGATGACTAACGATGAAAGTATGAAAAATACCTAAATTTCAGATTTGAGAGGAAGGGCCATTATATCAATTCTGAAATCCTTATTAAAATGCAGCTGGTAATGAGTCAGAATTTAAATAAGTATTATCAAAGGATGGATATGGATTTGTTTTGTTTTCAACTAACTTCAAACATATACATTACCTTCCATCTCTAATATCCTGCTGAATCTTTCCTTCTACAAAACTCTGAAATCATAAAGATTCTGTTCAGTAGACAATCTGACAAATGTAATTTGCAGACTCTTGGATATCAGCTCTTTTGCTTGGAGAAAGTTGGAATTTTTAAAAATACCCTGCTATTGGAGGATGGACAAGTAGGGATGTCTTATGGGAACATTTCTCTGTCATCAAAGGACTTCTGCATGAATTAAACAATTCCTATTCCTAGAAATAGGAGACTGAGTTCTAGTCCCACTTTAGGCATGAAAGCTGGATGGGTGGTTTTGGATTAATCACTCTCTCACACCCAATTCAGCTCACAGGGTTGTTGTGGGAAAAACAAGAGGAGGAAGGAATACTATGTATGTTGGTTGCCTTGAGTTATTTAATAATAATAATTTTAAAAAGTGGAATAATTTTTAAAAAGATCTGTTGTATCCTGGAAACTGGGGGAAAAGAAATGAAGTCTGTAAGGATATTGAAGACATTACAATTATAACTTGTCTAGAATTTAAGAAACAATAACTGGGCAGGATAAATCTATACATATTTTACGTGAAAGACATACTATCTAGACCGGCTCCAGTCCGGCTTCCGACCTGGGTACAGCACGGAAACGGCATTGGTCGCGTTGGTGGATGATCTCTGGAGGGCTCGGGATAGGGGTTGCTCCTCTATCCTGGTCCTGTTAGATCTCTCAGCGGCTTTTGATACCATCGACCATGGTATCATGTTGCACCGGTTGAAGGGGCTGGGGGTGGGGGGCACCGTTCTGCGGTGATTCTCCTACCTCTCTGACCGGTCGCAATCTGTGTTGACAGGGGGCAGCGGTTGACCCCGAGGTGCCTTGCATGTGGGGTGCCACAAGGGTCGGTCCTCTCGCCCCTTCTGTTCAACATTTATGTAAAGCTGCTGGGTGAGATCATCCGTGGCTTTGGGGTGGAGTTCCATCAGTATGCTGACGATACCCAGCTGTACATCTCCACCCCAGGCCACCCCAACGATGCCCTTGAAGTGATGTCCCAGTGCCTGGAGGCTGTGCGGGCCTGGATGGGG